GGCGGGGGGGGGGGCGCACAGAATGCCTTGGGAGGGCAAGAGGCCACCTCCCTTTCTCAGGGGCATTCAGAGAGGAGCCGGGCTGTGACCTCCAGGTCCTGTAGGTGCTGCCGGGCCTCTGACAGATGGAGCCCCGCTTCCTGCTTCCGACCTTGGCAGACCTAAGAGGGTCGGCGGGGAATCGAGGTCCCAGAGCCGCACAGTTCACACACTGCAGCCAGCTTGGCTGGCACAGACCAGGGTCCCTCCCGTGTCACCGTCTACGTGACCCAACTCTGGGCTCTGTGGACTGGCCCATCGTGGGTGATCCCATCCCTGCTCTCCCACAGAAGGCTCCCAGGCGGCCTTTCCGAAACGGCCACCTGGCTTCCCACGCAAGCAGAAAACACACTCCCACCAACTGTAAGAAAGCCTTTATTGCAAACAAACATAGCTCAGAAAATAATAATAAAACATAATTATAATAATACATCTGGAATAGCCCTAAGGGGCCCGTCTGGATTATTAGGGACGATGTTACCATTATGTCCTTAAGAGGCAGCTCATGGAAAAGCTGGAGGAGAGGAGGGGGCGCAGGCACGAGGCGGGGCTTGGGGGGCCTCCTGGCAACACAGCAGGACATTTCACCACACCAACAGTGGGCGGGCGGTGGGTACGTTACAACCCTCTTCCATCGGTAGCTCCGTGGGCCTTGGTTTCTAGGCGCATCGACGACAGCCAATGGAAGCCCTCAGCAGAGGAACGTCCAAGCCCCTTCCCCTGCGGCTGTCCAGCTGAAATTCGGATGGGTCGCGCAGCACTGGTGGGATTCTCATCTGCAGCGGGTCCAGGACGAATGAAAGCATTTCGGCACACAATGGAGTGAGTCTTCAGGGATGTGTCTCTTTGCCATTGCACAAGGTGCTGAAATGGCCACTGGAAGAAATGTCTTTTTGCCCCCAACCGAGGGATTCAGCTAAACACAACCTTTATATGTGCAAAGGCAACACTAGATGCTTGGGTGGGAGGAGAAGAGAGGGAAGGGCGCAAACAACAAAGGGCGGCCTTCCCCATCATGCCTGGACAGCTAAGCCACTTCCCGGCTGTCCGTTCTCGGAAAGGTTGGGAACGGCCCCGGCAAGGGGATTGCTTGGTTCTTAAATCCCACCTTGGTTCCTCACGGAGAGATTCTGCTCCATCTGCAAAGCCTCCCAACATGGCAGAACTATGTGGACTCCCGTCCTGTACGCCTCTGTGCCCCAGAGGAATCAGGCCGTAGGGCTTGCGCTTAGAGCTCCATGGGGCGGGAGAGGACCTAGGGAGGGCTTACCAGAGGCACGGATACCCCGTGACATTCCCTCAAAGGTTTCCGCCATATATATATATATATATATATCAACCACACGTGGAAGGGAAGCCCACTCTGTTGTGTACAGGACACATTTGTGCTACAACCGCCATGCCCACACTGACCTGGTAAAATTATCCCATCTTCTTCCACCAGAACCCCACCATGACTGTGGAGGGGCTGAGATTCCTGTTCAAAAGCGCTTCCTGGAGCAGGTGGCCCAGATCCGACTAAAATTTGCTATGGCAGTCCAACAAAAATCAAAGCTGCACTGAAACAAATTAGGCACAAATAAAGCCCCCCCCCCAATGTTCAGCAGGGCTATGCTGTCAGCTGCTCATGTCGGACCGGGGCCGCAGGGCGTCGTAACTACTTCACTGTTTCCAGAGGAAAGGGGGAAAATGGTAAGGCTGGGAGGGGGGCCGAAAATCAAGAAGTGACCCAACGGCCTTGGCACAACGATTCCTCCACCAGAGAAAGTGCTCTCCCCTACTTAAATCTGTTCTGTGTGCAAATGGCAAGCACACTTTGTGAAGTGGTCTGCAGAGTCCAGAGCACAAGAAGCGACACAAACAGGCAGGGGAAACAAAATGCATGTCAAGAAGGGCCAGCACCATGCTCAGTCCCCCCTGCTTCCCACATGCAAGATACAAAAGGTAGCCCCTATCAGACATTCTACCTTTGCTTCTGGCACCTTCCCCGGGGGGGGGCGAGGGGGGAAGAGTCACAAACAACCCCCACCTGGGTATTGGAAAGCTAGTCCTGCTGCCGTTGGGCTTCTCACCCAGTGGATGAGGCACCACCAGTGCAGAGAAACAGCACCCCAGGGGGTCTTTCTAGAGGCCCCGAGTCTCACACCAATCACTTAGAAAGGAAGGCCATCACTCTGTAAAGCCAGGTCCTAACATGCACGATTCCCTAGAAAGAAGCCAGGAGGGGGACCCGGGAAGGCTCAGAGAGGCTATGGGTAAAGAGGGAGAGAGGGGCACCGCTTCTCCCCCCCCAGGATCTGTTCTGGGGAGGGGCCACGACTGGCTTGCGTTTGGCATGGTTACACTCCTTATCAATGGGACCAATTTATGCATTTACGTGCAGTCACCGGGATGCAAACTTCACATCCTACCACCACCACCAAGGGGGGGGGGGGGGGAGGGCGGCATGACAGCCCTGGACAGGATTCCCACTTGAAGAAGGCGTGAGACCTGCTAGACAACAACCCTGCGACTCAAAAGGTCTCCTCCGCTGCCACCGAAGGGCTCCCCAAGCGTCCCTTCCTTTCCCTGACCAGCCCAACACCAGCAGAGGCAGCCCCACCTCCGGGGGGGGGGAGGGAAACCCTGAATCACTAAAGCAGGACCCCTTTCTTCACAGGCCTCCACCTCGGGGGCTGCCCAAGAGGGCAAAGAGTGAGCACCCCTTGGAGTCTGGGAGCTGCTGCTACGCCATCCCGGCCCTCCTCCCGCAACGGGTGGCCCTCTGGTTAAGGGCTCCATGCTCCCCACCCAACTACCCTGGTTCCCTTCCTTCCAGTATTTTTCAGGGTGCCTGCCTTCAGATCCTGCCCCCC